TTTTTTTGGTACAGGGACCTTCCGGTTTCCGAATCCACAGGAGAACTGACTAATTCGAAATAGAGCCGGGTAGGACCACAAGGACGGCAAAGCTCTCCCTCAAGAGTTTTAACACTGTTGCATTCCCAAGGCTCGAACACGAGACCACTGGTTAAGCTGGAAGAGACTCAAGCCATCTCATTCAAGCGCTCTCGGGTAGGTCGATCTTCTCGCATTGAATACTCTTGGGTACGTGTTATTAGTGGGTTTGGTTAAAAAAAAAAAGGCTATATGTATGAATTAGCATGATTCGATTTCAAGTTGTGATTTGTAGTGTACAAAATTTCAATTTGACTTGCATTTGTTCTTGTGCATTCAATTCTACATATCAATAGTACTCGTATAATTAACCTAAATTATATAGCTTGAAAGGAGAAAAATAAAATAAAATGAAAAAATGCATGTGATGTGCTTGTTTTAATTAAAACCATGGGAAGAAAATTAGTTTAGTAATACTAATGCGGTCGATTGATGTTCGATTATATAATTAATTTTAATATGATAATTAGTATTTCGTATGAGTTATTTTCTACACAGATCAATAAATATGATTGAGTCTTACGTTCCCGTTATAAAATCGTCTCACTGAATACCCTATATATTTATATATATATATATGAACATGTTGTCCGGTGCATGATTTGTGCTTTCGATCTCGAAATCAATCAAGTTATGTTCGTTTGAAATTTTGAATAATATTTTAAATTCTTTTAAAATATGATACTATTTCGTAATATTATTTTATATGGTTGATATCATATAAATATAAGATTTGGTGTGACAACAAGGAGTTCTAGCGACATATATTGTCATCCATGTTTATTCTGCAGCTCCAATAAATTTGTATGATTTTTCGTTAGACAGTGTTGTGATTTCTCTTTTAACTCTATTTATAGAATTTAATCATTTTATTTGTTTTTATGTATATGTTTTTTAACATTATTGTTGTGCAATATTATTTTATCATGTAAAATATCATATTAAAATTATCATTAATATTGAGACATAATGGTGTACAATGTTAGCAAGTTTCAATGATCATCGTGATATAATTAATAGTGTTGGCTAAATTGTAAAATATTATCAGTATCTTGTACGCGGTGGCAATAATAGCCACTATTTTTATGAATTGGCAATATTAGCCAACAACTTTCAAAATTTTGAGATTATTACCCAAATCCAACCAAATTCGACAGATAAATTGCAAAATATAGTCAGTTTCTTTTTACACAGTGAAAACAATAGCCATCAAATTTGGTCGGACATAGATAATAACACCAACATTTTGAAAGTTGTTGCCAAATTCGTAAATATGGTAGCTAATGTTGCTACTGCGTATAAAATGATGGTTATATTTTGCAATTGAACCTAATAGTGTTTCTAGATTCATAATAATAACGTGAAAAAAATTTGTGTGTTGAAAATGTCACCAAAATTATCATAATGAAGAGACATGTAGAAAAATGTTACATATTGAAAAATTTACAACATGTTTATTTTGCCGTCGCCAAAATCAGTAATAATGACCCACTTTAAAAAGTGTCGTGTAGTATTTCATATATACACAAATGTTTGTGTCACAAAATGATGCAAAAAGTGACGCACTTAAAAAAGCGTCACCCGAATTTAGCAATGCAATTCGGGGCGAATTTCATTACAATGTCCAACTTTTTGTAATTGCATTAATTTAATGCTTGATTTTTATTCTTTTACAATAAAAGACATATATTTTAGATTATTCTCAATTTAAGACTTACTTTTTTTGTTAACTAATAAAAGTAAAATCATCATAAAACTTCCATTAAATCTGAAGAAAATTACACAGTATGTTTGATGAGAAGAAAAGATGAACTGCCGATTTTAGAGAGAGAAGAGAGAATCTGAGAAAGTGAAAAGTGAGGATGAGAAGCCCTAATATGGGTATATATACTATGCCTATTACATAATATTTACAAGGCTGAGGACTAAAGTGCAAAATACATAAAAGATGTAAAATACATATAAAATGATTAATCTAATATCCCCCGCAAGATGAACATTCTAAATATGGATATTGAGAATGTTCATCTTGGCAATGCAATTTTTGAAGGGCTGAGGGTGTAAGGCATTTGTAAGAACATCAGCAACTTGAGATTCTGAAGGCACATGAAGTAGCTTTATGATTCCTTTGCTCAGCTTTTCTCTTATCAGGTGGCAGTCAATCTCAATGTGCTTGGTTCTCTCATGATGCACTGGGTTATTAGCTAAAGCAATGGCAGATCTACTATCTGAAAAAACAGAAACAGGGGCAGAATGAGAAATATGTAAATCATTGAGTAAATACAGTAGCCATTGTGCTTCACATGTTGTGGAAGCCAAGGCTCTGTATTCTGCCTCAGCAGAAGATCTACTAACAGTAGATTGCTTCTTTGATTTCCATGAGATAAGTGAGTTGCCAAGAAAAAATGCATAACCAGTGACACTCTTTCTAGTGTCCAGGCATCCAACCCAATCACTATCAGAGTATCCTTGTAAATGAAGTGCAGAAGAGCGAGGGTAGAATATACCTTGTCCAACTGTGGCTTTTAAATACCTGAGCAGTCTGTTGGCAGCATTCATGTGTGTTTCAGTTGGTCTAGCAACAAATTGACTTAACATTTGAACAGTATGAGCAATATCAGGTCTAGTAATAGTGACATATAAAAGCCTACCAATTAACTTCCTGTATGATGTAACATCAATTGGAGCAGAAGTGTCAAGAGTAGAGGATAATTTTATATTAGGATCCATTGGAGTACTGGCTGGTTTAGAAGCAAGAAAGCCAGTATCAGTTAGAACATCTAAAACATACTTCCTTTGGCAGAGTTGAATACCTTTAGAAGAGTGAGCTACTTCTATGCCAAGGATATATTTCAGAGTTCCTAAATCTTTTATAGTAAAGCAGGAATCAAGGTGATTTTTGATTTTAAGAATAGCATCAATATTGTCACCAGTCACTATTATATCATCCACATAAACAAGTAGGACAAGTGTATACTCAGTGGAAGAATGGACAAATAAAGAAGAATCAGCAGATGATTGTGTGAATCCATAATGCAACAAACAGGATGTGAGTTTGAAAAACCATTGTCTTGAAGCCTGTTTGAGGCCATAAAGAATTTTCTTAAGTTTACAAACTCTATGATCGGATGCATTTAAATAGCCTGGGGGTGGGGTCATATAAACATGTTCATCCAAATCTCCATGTAAGAATGCATTGTTTACATCTAATTGATGAATATGCCAGTTTTTAATGGAAGCCAATGCAATAAGCAATCTAACAGTAGTTATTTTTGCAACAGGTGAAAAAGTGTCAAAGTAAACAATGCCCTCTTCTTGGGTGTATCCTTTGGCAACTAATCTTGCCTTATATCTTTCTATACTACCATCTGACTTGTACTTAACTTTATAAACCCATTTACAGCCTATACAGTGCTGATCAGTGGGTAAATTTACAAGTTCCTATGTATTAGTGGATTCTAGGGCATTTATTTCTTTTTGCATTGTCTGTTGCCATAAAGGATCTAAGTTAGCCTGCTTATATGATTTGGGTTCAGTGACCTGACTAATGGATACAGTGTAACATGCATGGTCATGAGATAATGAAGCAGTAGAAAGAAAATGGTGAATAGGATAGAGTGTTCCAGGATTATGATCATGTATTGCCATAGAAGAATTAGAGGAATGAGGTAGGGAGTGACTGTATATGTTTAAGTACTGAGGAAGCTGTCTGGTTCTAGAGGATCTTCTGAGAGAATTATTTGTAGAAGTATCTGGTTGAGTTGTAGGTATGGTAGAGTTGGATGGAGGAATGGCTGACTGATGTGGAGAAGGTGATATAGGTGAATTTGGATTATTTATGGAGGCAGTAGATGGATTCTGAATAGTTGTAGGAACAGAGGTAGAGTTATGTGATGGTTGAGAGTCATCAAAAACAAATGAGGAGGGTTTAGGAAACATGAGAGTGTCAGTTTTAGGAAGAAACTGAGTATGTTTAAAAGGCAATACATGCTCATAGAATGAGACATTCCTGGATATTATTATATTCTTGGATTCCAAATTGTAAAGCCTATATCCTTTACAACCAAGGGGATATCGAAGTAAAATGCATTTTGATGCTCTTGGTGAAAATTTTGATCTATGTGCAGAAATGGTAGATGCATAACATAGACATCCAATGACTTTTAAATGATCAAATGTAGGTGGTCTACCATGAAGTTTTTCAAAAGGTGAGATGTTCTTATGAATGGATGATGGTAGCCTATTTATAATGTGAGTGGCAGCAGTGACACAGTCAATCCAGAAATGAATAGGCAAATGAGCATGAAACAAGATGGCCCTAGCTACTTGAAGTAAGTGCTGATGTTTCCTTTCTACTATGCCATTTTGTTGTGGTGTTTCAACACATGAAGTTTGATGATTTATGCCTTTTGAAGAGTAAAAATCATGCAAGATGAATTCAGTACCATTATCAGTTCTAATGGTTTTAA